GTTTGCTGTCTGATCCCAATGAATTGAAGCTGAAGCAAAGCAACGAGGATATGTTCCTCTCCTGTGATTGATTCAAAGTGATGATGCTCCTCAGATACGAGTCATTCTTAGAGTCGATTGCAAAATCCTTCCCAGATTGGTTGACAGGTTGCCCGTTAAAAATCCACTGCAACATAGGAGGGTTTCCCATGATTTCACAGGAACAGTTGATCTGATTTGCAGTTTTGGTGCAACTAGAAGATGGCAGGATCTTTGGAGGAACTGTAAAAAAAGTATATTGTTTAGAAGTCTTTTTTAAATTTAAGAAATTTGTTATTACTCCTATGTATTCTTTTTTGTATAGCTAAGTGTTATCAAAATTCATAAAAAAAAAAAAACACTACTTTGATATAGCCGATGCCTTTTGTTTTATAAAGTTAAAATGTTGGTTTAAGAATAACTAAGGTATCCAAAAGAAACCTATTTCTGATAAATAGCTGATCTAGGTTCTAGATAAAGAAAAACTGAAAAATGTAAAAAATAATTTTATATGGGTGAATTGTTATTCTGACACAATATTTTTTTATACTTTTAAGATATTAATGAAAAAGTTTAAAGTAATAATATTAGGTCTGTAAAATCCTTGTTAAATAACTGCTTGATGTATAGGGAAAAAAAACAGTGGATAAAATAGACAAACCTTGATTCTCTGATGAAATCTGAGGGAACATTATGAAAAGCTGTTTGCTGTCTGATCCCAATGAATTGAAGCTGAAGCAAAGCAACGAGGATATGTTCCTTTCCTGTAATTGATTAAAAGTGATGATGCTCCTCAGGTATGTGCCATTCCTAGAGTCCCTGATAGTAAAATCCGTCCCAGATTGGTTGACAGGTTGCCCATTAAAAACCCACTGCAACATGGGAGAGTTTCCTCTGATTTCACAGGAGCAGTTGATCTGATTTGTTGTACTGCTGCAACTGGAGGATGGCAGGATCTTTGGAGGAACTGTAAAAAAGTAGAAGATAATACCACCTCAAAATATTTTGCATTAAGTGTTCCCACTGAAGAACAACATGTTTTAATGCAGTTTTAAAAACATCGACGATGAACCATATTTTTAGTTATTTTTATTTTTTCATAGAGACATCTTTCGTGTTTAATACTACATGTTAGTCATTCATTCAGTGAGACATAAGCTTGAGTTTAAAGATATGTAAATGAACACAGCTGAGTAATTGCCTCCTATAAAGTATTCTTAACAAAGTAAGTATTGCAATAAAAGTGCTAGGTCTACAGCCCTGTCTGTAAATTGCTGTTAAGGTAAACTTGACTGTTACTGTTGCTGTCTGGCTATAAAATCTTAGTTAAATAGTTGATTTTTCAGTTATTCATAAAAAATTATTTACAGATGACAGACAAACCTTGCATTTCTGTTGAAATTTGAGGGGATCTGATAAAAAGCTGTTTGCTGTCTGATCCCAATGAATTGAAGCTGAAGCAAAGCAACGAGGATATGTTCCTCTCCTGTGA